TCCCAGGGTTTGGCACACTCCGGGGGAAGCTGGAAAATTAGACATAGAACCAATTCACATTGAAATTGAGAGACCAGAAGACCCCATAAGGGTAAAACAGTATCCCATACCCCTAGAGGGAAGGAAGGGATTGAAACCAATAATTGAAGATTTAATAAAAAGAGGCACTTTGGAGCCCTGCATGTCAAGACATAATACACCTATATTGGCAGTCCAAAAATCAGATGGTAATTATCGGCTGGTACAAGATCTAAGAGCAGTAAATCAAAGGACAAAAACCCTGTTTCCCACGGTCTCTAATCCATATACTTTGCTAAATAATGTATCCCCAGATGACAAGTAGTATAGTGTGATCGACCTAAAGGATGCCTTCTGGACTTGTCCTCTAGCTGAGGGAAGCCGTGATTATTTTGCCTTCCAATGGGAGGACCCGGACACACATAGAAAGCAACAACTAAGATAGACTTCTCTTCCTCAAGGGTTTGTAGACTCACCAAATCTCTTTGGTCAAGCCCTGGAAAAAGTGCTTAGCGAGTTTGTGCCAGTCCAGGGAACCAAACTATTGCAATATTTAGACGACTTATTAGTAGCCGGCTCTAAGGAAGACGAAGTAAAGACTGGAACTATAGCTCTGTTAAACTTCCTGGGAGGACGAGGGTTGAAAGTTTCAAAGTCTAAATTACAATTCACTGAACCTGAAGTGAAATACTTGGGACATTGGCTGACAAAGGGGAAAAAGAAACTAGACCCACACCGGGTGGCAGGGATAATTGCATTGCCCCCTCCCCAAACAAAAAGAGAAGTCGGGCAATTGCTGGGACTTTTAGGCTTTTGCAGACAATGGATCGAAGGGTACAGTGAAAAAGTAAAGTTTTTATATGACAAACTTACCACAGACAGACTTAAGTGGACCGATAAAGATGAAGAGAGCTACAGAGGATTGAAAGAAACCCTCATAGCAGCTCCAGTATTGAGTCTCCCTGACCTAAAAAGGCCCTTTCAGCTCTTTGTAGATGTGAACAACCACACTGCCCACGGAGTTCTGACCCAAGACTGGGCAGGGGCCAAAAAACCAGTTGGATATCTGTCCAAACTCCTGGACCCTGTCAGCAGGGGATGGCCCACCTGCTTACAAGCAATTGTGGCAGTAGCAATATTAGTAGAAGAAGCCAAAAAGGTAACATTCGGGGCTTCATTAACCATTTACTCCCCTCACAATGTGAGAAGCATCTTGCAGCAGAAAGCTGACAAGTGGCTGACAGATGCCAGGCTCCTGAAATATGGAGCTATTTTAATCCATTCCCAGGACCTGGAGCTAAAAACTACCCCAGCACAAAATCCTGCCCAGTTTCTGTTTGGGGCAGTCCAAGGGCATCCTCCCCATGACTGTGTTGAAATGGTAGAATTACAGACCAAAATACGACCTGATTTAGAAGAAGAAGAACTCGAGGAAGGGGAAAAATGGTTTGTGGATGGGTCTGCCAGGGTGATAGATGAGAAAAAAATCGGGATATGCAGTCATAGATGGGAGGACGGGAGGGGTGATAAAATCTAGGCCCCTGAATGCAGGGTAGTCAGCTCAGGCATGTGAACTGTATGCAGTATACAGGGCTTTGCTGGGTCTTGAAGGGAAAAAGGAGACAATTTTCACTGATTCCAAATATGCATTTGGGGGGGGGGGTGCACACCTTTGAGAAAATCTGAGAAAAAAGAGGTCTGCTAAACACACGAGAAAAAGGATTGATTCATGAAGAAATAATTAAACAAATCCTAAAAGCCATTAGAGGGCCAGAAGCTATTGCTATAGTCCATGTAAAAGGACACCAAACCAGGATGCAATTCAGGACTCGGGGGAACAATTTAGCAGATAAAGAGGCAAAAAGTGCTGCTTTGCTAAAGGTAAGTGCCCCAGAAATTAAAAAAAAAAAAAAAAAAAAAAAAAAAAAGAGGACGCTCAAGAATTCCCCCCCACCCCTCTAGAACAGAGACAGAGGCTTATCGAAAGATCAGGAGACAGTTAAAAGGAGGTAAGTGGAAGTTACCAGATGGGAGAGAATTATTGTCAAAGGAATACACTAGGAAGATTAAAAAAAAAATTTTACACCAACAGACACACTGGGGGGCCCGAGCTCTGGCAGAGCAGTTCCTGAAATTCTTCAGCTGCAAAAGTATATGTAAATTGGCTAAACAAGAAGTACAAGGGTGAGTAACTTAGATAAAAATACCACACCCCATAGCACCCTCAGAGTTCTGGGCCACTCAAAAAAATTAATCAAATGCTAGGAGTCCAATTAGCCAAATTAGTGTTAAAACAAATGTCATAAATAAAATACATCCCATTAGCCTTATTAAACATAAGAACTATGCCTCATTTTGAAATGGGATTTCCACCTTCTGAAATGTTACATGAGATACCTTATACCCATAATATGCCTGTAGGGCACCCGGGAGTAAAGAATAGACAGATACAACCATACCTGATAGCATTAAATAAGGATCTCAAGGGAGTGATCATGCAACACAGCACCCCAACCCCCCCCTTAGACTTTTTAATATATACAGCAATAAGTAAAATACATCCTGAAGACAAAATACTGGTAAAAACATAAAAAGAGTCAACATTCACGCCTCATTAAGAGGGACCCTATATTATCCTTTTAACTACAAATACTGCTATACAAACTGCAGAAAAGAAGCAGACACACGAGTCAAGAAGTCGATCTCCAGGACCGGGCACCAGAGTGGAAAATCACTCCCCTCCCAGGAACTTGAAGATGATCCTGCCCGGCCAAGTAAAAAACGGAGAGCATCTCTATCAAACATTCTTTGCCAGAAGTGTAACTATTATCCTCTCATACATTTCTCTTGCAAATACTGTCATAAAGTTTAAAATGTTCGTTACTGACTTAAATCAAGTGGGTTGTGTGGGAAGTGCTCTGAGCAGGAAGAAAACCTGACTAGCCGTTTTCTAGTAATAGCCACAAGGCTAATATTGTTCTAATTAGATTCAATAATCTAAATTTTAGTTTTTTTCTTTTTCTCATCTCAAAAGGGATTAAGGGGGAAATTACAAACAAAAGCTAAAATTATTATTGTTGAGTGTCATAGATTGAACAACATACCCTGCAGTGCAGACACTAGTAAACTACACCAGTGAGGCATCTTTAAACAGGATATGCGGCTCGGCCTTGGTATGAAACCACAAACAAAGATTCCTGCTGCCAAGAAGATGCCTCACCCCGCCGCTGGATGCACCCCAGTGGGCGCTGGGAACGGCAGAGGGATCCCAGCAGTGGAAGTAGTCCCGGCGAGCCTGAGCCTAACCTTGTGCCTCAGTAACCTCCCAATCCTGAGAAGGGGGAACTCAGTGACAAATACCCAGAAAAAATCGCCTCTTACCTCATAGAACTGCACCAGGGGTAAGCCTAATAAACGCTGTCTTAACACAAACACTCAACAGAGGGTGTACAAATTCAAAAGAAAATCAAAAACATACCTTGAAAACGGACAGTCAGCTCATAAACCGCATCAAAAGAGCACAAATAGATATAGTTTATAACAAATATATTTGTACTACATGGGTTAGGAAAAGCAAAAGTCTGTTTTGTAACTTATTTTCAAGCTAATTCACCGTGTTATAACCCAAACAAATTTGGTATGTGTATAATAGGGAAAACATACTGGGTAGGTGCTAGATAAATGAGTAGTTGAGACAAATAAAAGAAAGACACAAACCCACAAATCTTGCCACAAAATCCCGAATAAAGACTAAAATATAAGGAATTAGAAAATATATATAAACTCTGTAGTTTTATATCGAATAAAATAAAAAGTAGGGTGCAAATTAATAGGTTAATATAAAAGGTGGGGGATTGTTATGTGTAGTAGATATAATTTGCGTCATTTCTAATATGATATATGTGATATTGAATATTTGTTAGAGTATACATGTTTGTATTAGGATTCCCCCCCTCACAGGCGCAGGTGAGACTGGGTGTAGATTAGAAACTGATTTACAAGTAAGAAGATACTCGCCAGGAGATGGGCCATGTCTGGGGAGATACAGAAACCCCAGGTGCTGATCGTTAGCGTGAACGACCCGAGATGGATATCATGGAAATCCTGAAGCGTGAATACAGCCTTCCCGTAAATTTCATCAAAGGATTCAACAAACTCCAGACAGTGATTTGTTCTCCCTCATCACCAAAAAAAAGAAAATCTTATTAACATATGGACTCTGAATAGAAGAAAAGACTGATTGCTGAAATCTTGGCCTCAGGCGGGATTTTCCCTATAAAAACCGCTTGTGCCAGGATGGAGGTGTGGGCATAGAGGAAAACCTCTGCTGAGGCTGACCTCTTTGTTGCACACCCAGGGCCGACCCCGGGCTCGGCTCTGTTCTTTCCTTGTGGCTGGCTAGATAAAATTTGATTGTAAAATAAATATTTTATTTTTCATATTAATTTGGCTGGACAAATTTTCATTTATAACAGGATCCTTTGCAAGTATTGCCTTCTCCGTTCCCACTCCCCCCCCCCCCCCCCGCCCCCCCCCCCCGGTCCTGGCCGCTTGGCCCGCGGCTGCTCCGCCGGGGGTCCGTCCTGCCGCGTGGTCTGGCGTCGCCGCGCGGACCGCGCCGAGAGGGGTCCCGTCAGTACCGGCCGTCCCATCCCCGGCTGCCCTGCCCGTGCCGCCTGCGCTGGGCGCCACCGCTGCTGCCGGGGTCGCCCCACCTGCTTTGTCTCTGCCGGGAGCTGCCGAGTCGGCCGCCATCAGCCATGTGCAGCTCGCTCTCCACCGAAGATCCCCCTTTGGCGGTTCCGGCAGCGGACCCTGCCTGCGCCTTGGAGGACTAAGCCTCGGCGTGGATCCCTCCCCTAAACCCGCCTCCTGCCCTGCGTTCCGATTCCTCGGTAACCACAACTCCAGCTGTTCAGGGAAACTCCCTCTAGAGGAAGCACCTCCTGAGTAGGGTCAAAATGATGATGATGAGAGAAAACTTATGGAGTATCGTAATTTAATATACAAGGGAATAAAAGGGGCAGCACCTCGAGGGCAAAATGCTAAAAGGCTTTTGAGGCACAGCAGGGGAAAGAAGAAACTCCAACGGAATGGTTAGACAGACTTAGGAGAAATATAAAACAATATTCCAGAATAGATCCTGAAACTGATGTGGGAAAAGCTTTGTTAAGGATTAACTTTGTTACTAATGCCTGGCCAGATATTAGGAAAAAAATAGAAAAAATTGAAGACTGGCATGATAAATCATTAGATGATTTATTAAAGGAAGCTCAGAAAGTTTATGTCTGGAGAGATGAAGAAAAAGCTAAAGTAAAAGCAAAAATTATGGCAGTCACCATGCGAGAAAACAATTACAAAAAAAATAAAAAACACACAGGCACTACTAGATATGACGGTTGTAGAGACAGGGGAACAGGAAAGAATAAAACCTCAATACAAACCAAGTCTCAGGAGCATTCCAGGAATGTCTGCTTTTACTGCAGGGGCAAAGGACATTATAGGAAAGATTGTCCTAAGCAGGTAAAAGATCTGAAAATTTACAAAGAGATGAGCACAGAGGAAGAATAGGGATGTCAGAGGCTCTATTTTTTAGGGGACAAATATCATCTGGAGCCTGTGATAACTTTAAAAGCGGGTCCCCAAGAAGAAGAATTGGAATTTGTGGTAGACACAGGGGCAGAAAGAACCTGTCTGTTAAATATTCCAAAAGGTTATAGTGTGAGCAAAGCTACTGTAACAGAAGCAAAAGAGAGAGTTCACAGTTCCTGTCATTAAAAATGTGGTAATTGAGGGAGAAACTAGATTTTGGATGGAGGATGTCTCATTGGTCCCAGGAGAGAGTAGCAACTTATTGGTAGGAGATTTACAAGTGAAATTAGAAATAGAGGTTATCCCAGAAGATGGGAAGATGACAGCTAGAGTTTTAAAATTAGGCCAAGAGGATGAAGAAAAAATTAACAAGGAAGTTTGGGCTGGGGAATGAAATAGGGGAGGATGCTTCATGCTGAGCAGATGTCTTCATTGAGCTGTTGATTCAGCTAATTCTTTCCCCTTTCCTCTGTACAAATAGTTTAAATTATTTCTTCCAAATTGCATTATCTTGCACTTGAAGGTGTGATTTTTCATCTTGAAATACGTAACTCATTGTACCCTAAGATTGAAAAACTACCTTACAGCTGTGACATAGCAAAACCTGCTTTTAATTTGAGTTGATGCAAGGCTGTTCAATCAGGTAGTTCTCAGTGTGTAAAGTTAAACTAAAGGTAACACCAGCTGCTTGGTAGGTCAATGAGAAACATTTTTCCTTCCAGCCAGTCCTTTTTCATGTACCCAAATGTGTTTTGCTTTCTTGGTTTTTGTTTTGTTTGTTTGTTAGTTTTTCTGGAAGTGCTGATTCCTTGCAGTGCACCTGGAACAGCAGCTAGAGTTGTGCATGCATAGCACTTCTGAAAAATAGGGCTCATTTTTTGACTCAGAATTGGAGGTGACTACATATATAAAAGAGAACCTGCAAAGCTAGATGAAGAAAAGGTTTCAGTATCTTCTAATGTAAGCTGTTAATTTGTTACCTTCAGCATCACTGTGGGTGTGTGACACACACACATGAAAAAGATGGTGGGGGATCTCTACTTGCTGTAGTTTTATTTCTTGAATGAGTTGGAGAGCTGTGAGGAAGTTGTGGGTTCCTTGTGTGGTTTATCCAGGCCTGCAGGGAAGTCTTCGCCATGATTCCCTCTGTACTGCAGGTAGCCCTGCAGGGTGGCAGAAGTGGCTTGCCTCTGGTGAGTTTGCAGGCAAGGTGCTTCATCACTGCAGTGCTCAGGTGCTGTTTCCTATTGTGGCATTTGGGCTTGAATTCAGGAGTGCCTCTTCCCATCTAGTTATTGTTTGTACCACAGAAGCCTCTTTGGACAGTGTTTCCTGGCAGTCAAAGGGAGGGTATTGCAGAGACAAATTCCTTACTTGCTGTCCCCCCCACTGTATTCATATTTTGTCCATTCCCTCTTCAAAATATGGATTTGTAAAACTCATGCTCTCTGTCCTCAGATGCCCTTCCCAAATCTAACCTTGGCTTCATTACTCCACTCCATGCCTTATGGAGGGATGTTTTCAATCCATTGAATTTGGTGCCACAGTACCTTTTTACCTCAGAGGCCCTTGGGATGTTGATGCAAGTGTGTCATCAGAACTGGTGTTTCTGCCCAGGCGTGAGTTCATGGTGTCCTGACCAATTGGAGATGGAAGAGGTGCTTGTTCTGTTGTTGAGCATTTATTTTGCCTTTTGGTGATGGAGTTCCTTGAATTCCTCTGTTTCAGTAAAATGGAGGTAGCGAGGTATTTCTTGAGAGCTGTGGCTGGATGTCTGTGAATGGAAAAAATCGAGTTGCAAATTGCATTGCACTAACTAGCATTGCCTTAAATTTTTTGGTGCAGGCAGGGTCACATTGGAAGTAAAGTTGTTGTTTACCTTGTTCCTGCCACCTTTTCAAGCTTGTGAATGGCAAAAAAATTGTGATAGCAAAGCAAGTCTTTAGTTTTGGCACTGTGTCAGCTGTGAGTGGCTGGGAGCCTTGATGGAGGGTGCTGTGAATTGCACACTTGCAGAACATACATAACAAAGGTAACTTAATTTGTAAAGAAGTTATAAAAGGGGGGAGGGGTGAGTGGCAGACTCACCTCTCAGGGATGTTGGAATGTGGAGGGATGTTGGAATGTGGAGGGATGTTGGAATGTGGAGGGATGTTGGAATGTGGAGGGATGTTGGAAGGTGGATGTTGGAATGTGGAGTGATGATGTCTTGTGCTAGAAAGGGCAGAGAAGTGTCTTAACGCATGGTTGTTAGGAAGTTGTTCAATGCTGAACTGGGGTCTGGAAAAAGTTTACCAGAACGGGCCCTCCTTGAAGGGAAAAGAGGATATGTAGATGAAAGAAAGAGAATGTCAGGAAGAGGGAGAGAGAGAGCTCGAAAGGGAGGTGAGGTATTCCCCCAAGGTCCCCAAGTACTGAGATGCCTCCGACACCTCCTTGGAAGAGGAATACTGCCACTTCAAACAGGAGGATCGGGACTGTTTTAGTCGGAGTTCTTATATTCTGGCCTTAGCCTGTGACTTGTACAGGGAAAAAGGGAAATTCCCATTAGTACTATACTGTATACTTCATTTGATTCATCCCAATACTGGACACGCTAGCTGGGTTATAAGCAAATGTTTAAATTATGGGAATAATTGGTATTGTAGTTCACAAAATCTATGTTCTCATTGCAAGAAGTATCGACGAGTACTGAATCGATCCCCTATACAGATAGAACTCAAAACAACTGAAGTAATAACTTTGTTTTGTGGATGGGAATTATTAGTACCTGTTGATTGAGAGATACCTGAGGAACAGTGGGAAACCAAAGTTAAGGAGTGCTGAAAATGATTTGCCTGGAAATTATCTAAGAGAAAGTGACAAGGAAATAGAGGGCAAGACCAGATTGGCCTCTGTATTTGCCACCAAGAAGATCAAATACACCTGCTGTGGGTTGCAACCCCATAGGCATGGGAGGTGTGAGTATAAGCCATATTGATTCTCTGTCACTCATTTTTTTGTCTTTTCCCTACTGGGATATTGAAAAAGCCATGCCACAGGTGTTACCAAAAGATGTATATGGAAAGAAATTAAAGTTCCTTTTTTGTTACACACACCCATGTTAACAGCCACTGTTATAACCCATCCAAATTAAGTACCTGCAGGCAAAATGGGGAAAAATATTGGATTACAAGGAACTTAGGAAAAAGTGGTAATAAATGGGGCATTGAATGTCCAAAAGGAGAGAGATGGATTTGTTTTACATTTGATCTTAGAGATATAGTCCAAGATTTGGTAAAAAGGCAATTAGTATACAAAAAGGTGAAACGGGCACAGCAATCTAACTCTGTATTTGCCCTAAATTATATACTGAGTCATATTACAGGACTCCAAGAAGTTAAAGAGAAGATAAAATCAAAGCTGCTCAGGCATTGGAATTAATATCGAGTCAGCAAAGACAAACAAAAACTGTAGTATATCAGAATAGGTTGGCTTTAGACTGTTTAATGGCTAAAGAAGGGGGTGTTTGTGGAAAGTTTAATATATCAAATTGTTGAAAATAGATGACAATGGGGAGGTCATCCTGAAAAAAAAAAATATCAGAAAAAACCAACCCAGGTACTGGTCCAAAAATGGGAAAACAATGTTAAAAAATGAACTGGAGGGGTAATGTATTGAGGATGGGATGGTGGAAGAAATTAGGATTCTTCCTTTTATGTGTTACGACTGTTTTGATATTTCTTCCTTGATTAATCCCATGTTTTATTTGATTACCAACATAGTCCAAAGAATGCAAGTGGATAAGAAATATTGCTCAAGCCAAATGATTTATAAAGAATAAGAGGAGGGATTGTGAAAAATGCATATTTTATGATTGGGTTTTTGCAAATATTAAAATTAATATTATATGTGTAGTGTTAGAAAGGTATGCTGTATTAATTCTCTTTAGTAGTCTGTTAAATATAGTTTTAGGTTATAACATAATGTTAAAATAGAAACTCTGCAATGTAAGATGTCTTTTACTAGCTCAAGAAAGGGGATAAGATAATCAAGAAACTCTTCACAGAGATAACAGACAGGGCCCATAAAGAGTTATGGCCTCCTTATCGGATAAGACAAGCATTCTTCCACCTTCTCTCCACCTTTATGGAACCACCAGGATTAAGGGGAAGAAGTTGACAAAAACCAGAAAAATTCTTAATTTGCAAGGAATTTATGCATCATGTATGAGATATATGAATATGCAACAGGCTATTGCTTTTAAGGGTTATTCCTTTATTCACAAGGCATGTTTTTGGCAGCTTAGTGTCCAAAAACATCTGGATGTCCGTAATTCTTTGCTTTTTATTGTCTTGTAATTGTCCTAACTCTAAATTTTTATTACTCTAATTGTATTACTATTTTTATAACCACTTTATTATTATTAAACTTTTTAAATTTCTAAAACCAAGTGATTGGCATTTTTCTCAGAAATGATTTTTTGATTGATTATAGAAATGGTTTGTATTTTTTTATCTGCTGATTCTTTTGGTTTTAAATCATCTATAACCTATGAAGATATGTGTAACTATTCTGTCCTTCTTCCATTTAAAAGATGATCTGAAATTTGGGTACCTGTAAATCTGACTGGGGCTTGGGAAGGACAGGATGGTCTCTTGCAATTGGCTTGAACAGTCCAAGAGGAAATCCAAATGAGTAAGAAAGGAGTTTGCAAATTTCTGGGTTCATTAATCTTTGCTATTGTTTCTGCCGTAATAATATTAACCACAGCCTCTGTGGCTGTTGCTGCCTTAACTCATTCCATTCAAACTACCCATACCATGGGATAGGCTTTGACTTAAATATCACAATATAATTAAAAACACAAGAAAACATTGATAAAGAAATAATGGCTAGATTAGAGGCTTTGGAAGGTCCTCTTATATGGGCAGGTGAGAGAGTTGAGGCCCAAAAAACTAATCTATCCCTGCACAGTGATTTGGAGCATATCCATAATTCTTTATGTATCACTCCTCTTCCATGAAATGGCACAGAAGAGAATTGGGAGACAGTTAAAAACCACCTCTAAGGGGCCTTTGATAAATCCCTACAACAGAATATACAGTCACTTCACACTCAATTAAAACATCAACTCAGACCTTTACAAATTCTGGAGGAACAGAAGGTGTTAACAGATCTGAAAAGTGATCTTTCTTGGCTAAACCTGAAAAATTTGTTTTCTGGGATAAATTTACAGGTTTGGGTTTTCATTGGACTGGGTTGTTTGGCAACAATATCCTTTTTAATCTTCTGTCTTGTCCTTTTTGACATAATCAGAGCTGTTAAAAGCACGCAAAACCAAGTCATGGTTACCTTAGCCTTATCTATGACCCCAATAAAAGGAAAAAAAGGGGGAGATGTGAGGAAACAGCAAAGCCTGACACTGCAGAAAATTACTGGGAATCATGATAGAAAGCAGATTACACATGATCTGGGAACAGGAAAGGTGTCCTCTTTCCTTGAAGCCTGCAAACCTCAAGAAAATTACCAGTCAGGCTGATGGATTTATTACAGGCCTGCAACCAGCTTGCGTGCGAAGGACTGAACAGAGATTCTCACACTAAGGGTATAAGTACTGTCTTAGCTGTGCAATAAACAGATTAATTTTGCTCTCAGCTTGTGTGTATCAGCCAGAGGCCCTGCAAGGCCTCCCTGGTGGTCACTTGCCTAAGATAAGAAATACCTAGTCATGATGACTGGACCAAGGAAGCCCCTCTTCCGCCTCCAGACCCTTGTTATCTCTCTGTAAGACCATAGGTTATATTCGCCTTGACCCTGGCTATTGGACAATTTCCAACACCTCAGTACCCTGTATAAAACCCCATTCTGTCCAGTTCAGCAGAAGAGCTGTCACTGAACCCCTTCACATGAGCTGCCAATAAAGACACCGCTGTGGAACCTCATACAGCCTTCTCCTCTCTCTCCCTATGCATCTGCGAGGCACATAGCAAGCAAAGAGCTGAAATCACTAAAGAGCTGAATTCACCAAAGAGCTGATCTATCTTAAGAGCTGAGCTGCTTGCTAAGATTGGCCTGTGGCTGGGAGCTTCCCTGAGGGACCTGGACAGGTTGTGCTTATCAGTCCAGTGCTATCCGGGACACCTACGGCAGCCGGGGTTGGACAGATCTCGGGCCCAGGCTGTAAGACTTGTGAGTCTCGCATTCATACGCCAACAAACAGCAGACATTCAGTTCAACTGTCTTTCAATAAACCTCAGGAAAGGGAACAGTCTAGTACTGTAACTACACAAATCACTAGAAGTAAAAACAAAATACACAAATTGCTTGCCTATAAATATTTTATAACTATAGTGTCGGAACTCAAAATGTCCCTCAGACATTTTCAGAGGTTCCAGGCCTTGGTCAGAAGCATTTTAGACCCTGGCAAGCAGCTGGAAAAAGCTGTGATTTTGAGTTTGAGCCATGGAATGAGTTACCAACTTTGAAGGTGGAACAAGCGGTCACAGAGGGTTAGATGGTATAGTAGAAGTAATTACAAATTAGAGGGGAAAATTTTTTAGTATTGTACAGGGGGGTTTTAACACCTGTACAGGGGGGTTTTACTTTGTACAGGGGGGTCAGGAGTTCTAAGATGGAGGAAAGTGGGCCTGATCCTGTTCTTCCTCCTTCTTCTTCCTTGCCTCCATGTTCTTGGTGATGTTGGCACTCACAGATTGGTTTAGAGTAGAAAAGCATGTTGTAACATAGATAGTAGGTATTGGGGAAAATCTGTAAACATATAATACGTAATAT